TCCCTCAGGGGCTGCCCCGGGCCGGGGGGCCGGTGACCGGCACCACAGGCCACTTTTAAGCCTTTCGTCCTCTTTTTCTCACCTCAGGGATTTCTTCAGCAAAGGCGGGTCAGCCCCGCGCGCCCCGTGCCCACCACCTGTGACAGGAGCGGCTGAGGAAATGTCTGCCCGGCCCCGGGCGGGAGCCAGGGGCAAAAGAAATGAGCGCTGGCATGTGCATCTCTAAAATACCTCTCTCCTCCTCAGAATATTTTTTTCCAGTCAAATGCCCTCTTCTCTCTTATTTTCCTGTGCTGTGCATCATTCTCCGCTCATAACACAGGCTGTATTCCCTCCTCTGGGCAACCTATATGGATTTTTCCAGGCATAAAGCCAGAAATAAAACTATGTAAAATAGGATTTCAAGGCCCCCATCCTGCTGCAACTGTGCTTACCTTTAAGTAGGCAACAATACTTCCATAAGCCTTATGCTCATGGACCGACTAAATTGAGATTTTAAGGTTGGGCCCCACGTTAACAGTTCATGTCTCAGTCGTGATCGCTGCTGAGATCAACGGGACGAGAACCTGCCTTCATGATCCAACCTTTGCTGCAAAGTTCGAAACTGCTATCATAGCACTAAGTAGTACGAGTTGGATTTTGTAGGAGCTGCTTATGTTTCCAATGCCACCACCAGCTCTTTTCACCTTTAGATGCAGCTAAAATAAACAGAGCTAAAATAAATGAAGCGCTGCGCAGGCCAAAAGTCACTCCACACAGAGTAAATTGCAGCACAGGGCTAGGTTTTTTGTTTTCTCAACTTCTAAAGTAAATAACAACCTCTTTCATACAGGTATTAATTAAATTCAGTAAGCACAATCCACGCAGTCAGATCCTTTAGTCAGGGCTGCTTTTTTTTTTTTTAATATGTAAAATGGAAATGAATATGACAAGGACCAGCAGATGTGTCAGTGGCCAAGTGAAGCGAGGCTTTGCTCTCCACTCAGTGACACTTTTCCGTCTATCATGCGACAGATTCTGAAAATTGCATCCGATCAATTAAATGGTCTCAGACAATATGCAAGGTATTGATAAGTGAAACCCTGTTACTTACCATGAAAAATGAGAAAAGGAAAAGGCTGCAGTTCTACTTGTCTTGAGCTTAGTAATGCTGTTGTATCTAAGCGTAGAGGTAAAACAAACCTGGAAGCAATATAGTCGGAAGCAATATAGCTCAGCCTGCATAAACAGTGAAGTATATAGTGGTGTACTTAAAGAATCAGCAATGGACTGAGCACACTTAGTAAGGCAAATATGACCAAGACAGGAATAGTTCTTTAGGTAAAAAAGCACTGGATCAAGGAATAGTGGCCAGAGACAGAAAGGACAGGACTATCTCAGCCAGAATGGCAACTTAAACTGCTTATGGATCTGTAATATTAGTTATGTTAGACATAAAATACCTTTCTTTAGACTGTAATAAATTGGTCAAGAAGGTATTGTGTTATTATAAGGGAATACTTGTAGGATGAAGGACCATTCCTGCATGGCATTATTCTTTTTAATTCTCACTGCAAGGTTCAGACTCTGGGTGCCCCTTACAGATGTCTGTAACTTGTTTTCTATGTTATCCCTTGGAAGTGGATGATTCTTTTCCATTTCTTGCCCTCCGATGTAAGATTTATTATTTTGAAACATATATTTTCAGCTGTTACTATAGCATTTATTTTAACTATCTCCAAGATTCCTGTCATTGTGGTGCCCAAGTGCAAGGATTTCTGATTTTACATCCTACCTGGAACAATAAAAGGGCTTGACAGTTGTTTTACTATTTTTAAACTGCAGTGACAAAACAGTGGCCTGAAAAAAAAACCCCCATAAATACATAAGGAACCATTTGGAACTTGCCCCTAAAGAAAAAAGAGCACAGCATAGTTTTGGCTTAGAAACTCAAAGGAGGGCATTCACATCATTTGCTCATGGAGTCTGCTTTTCCCTGCGTAAATGAGGAGCCAAGCTCTCCTGAACAGACAACGGGTAATTCAGAGCACTAAGAACTCCGCTGGCTCCATGGGGAGTTAAGGCAGACTCTGCTTCAAAACCTAAAGATACGAGCTAAAGAAGAGAGCAGGAATTCCTGTTCCTCTTACTACTCC